ATTCTGGGACTTGGCCTTGTTGATGACTTTGTACAGCTTTTTAGTTAGCCGTTTTGAGGCCAGAGGCCTGGCAATGGGGCTGAGATATTTGACTTTGTCCTCCCAGCTTAATTTGGTCTGTGTCGTGTTCACGGATTCACCCTTATCATCAGTTTGATCAGCCTCAGATTTTCTGTTTTTCCCCATTTTTTTTAACCAATCTGAAAGACATACAAAATAAATTTAAAAGAAAACATTAAAAAAAAAAAAAAAAAAAAAAAAAAAAAAAAAAAAAAAAAAAAACATAACTGAAAACAAATAGCACCATTGAGGTAGGAAGAGTTGTTTACAGCAGGTGCTAAATATGGTAAGAAACAAGAGTTGTTTATCATGTCTTGTTCAGAAAGAGAACACAATTGTGACGACTTTCTTTTTATTTAGTGAAAACTGGATGTGTATTGCTAGATTTTTTTTTCTTAATTTTTAAAAAATCAAAAGTTACTGCACTGTATAAGGCCTACCTGAGAAATTTAGTATTTTTTAAGCTTGTTATTATTCTCAAAATGTATTGAAATTAAAAGTATTTATAATGTGATCTAATTTTGCAGGGCATTTTCAATTTTTGTTTTTAGATTAAGTTATTAGTCACAGATTGTGAAGAGTGAGGAATAAAAAAAAAGGAGGACTAGCCCTTCCTACTCTGTTTTTTTCACTAGGAGTTCATCTCTGCCAAAAGAAGGTGCCTCGGTTGAAACAGACATTAGACTCCTTTAGAGGAGACTATTATGATTAGGTCAACTTTTAGAATATGTAGCCATCCTCTGGTATTAACCTTTGTTAGACCAATAATGAATATATGCATCCTCTGTTTGGGACCCCTCAACTCAAGAAAACATTAAGAAACTCAAACTAGAATAGACACAAAATAGACTAGAGCGGTGAGATTCATAACAAACGAATATTCACATTTGACTAGAGTAACACCTTTAGCTTTGAATAAAATCACTAAATTTAGAAAGCCTTCAGGATAGAAGACTCAAAAGTAAAGTAGCAATTATACATAAAACACTCAAATATAATCTTCAAATTATACAAAAACAAAATCTAACAAAATACTCAGAATGACACTAAAATAAAAGCACATTCCTCATTCCATATACTAGGACAAATTTGTACAAATGCTCCTTCTTCCCTACTAGTGCTATTAGACTAATTAGAGCATGGAATGGGTTTGTAAAATGTTTTCCATACATGTTTCGTATGTTCCTTTAGGGTTGAAGATTTAATAATTTACTTCCTAGTCAAAACCTACGGCAGGATGACAGGGGGTGAGAGCAGACAGGGTTTCAACCTGGGACCATACATAAGTCTGAACGACAGTCCAGAGCGTAAACCGCACCGCCATGGGTTGCCTGGGCCAGCCAGGAAAACCAATGACTTGGCAGAATTTAAGCCATTGGTTAACATGCATGATTAGATGCATAACACTTAACATGTATTGTCATATATATAGAACGTAATAATGATCTTCTTTTTTTAAGTAACGTCTACCTGTACTTTAAAATTATGACTTTATAAGATAAGGAGTGACTCATATTTAAGTCAATTTAAGCTTATGATAAGGTAAAAATAACTGTTTAACCATTTGACAACTAGAGTCGCCGGCAATCGCCGATTTTGGGTTGTTTCATTTATGCACGCACTGCTAGTTTTTAAATAACTATTTATACCTTTAGTGATGCTATTTTTAGGTGTTTATTTTGTATCTGCAGCATGTTAGAATGCATTTTTATGATATTTTGAAAATTATGTTTTGTTATTTTTGCTAACCTAGAAAATGGAACATATTTAGGCTTATGTTTAGGCTTTAATAGAATAAGATTTTAATGGAATATTAATGTTTAAGCTGTAGAATAAGGATATAATGATTGGGGTAAGTGATTTAGAACCATTTAAGTCCGATAGTAGTGAAAATAAATATAATTATAAAATTGATGCTAGATCCAGTCTATCATATATGTTAGATCTAGTCAAACGGAAGATTGGAAGGCAACTAAATATGACGACAACATGATATTTTAATGTTTTTGAGCCCTGTAGGCCTAATTATGATTTCAAACATGATGCTTAACCCTAGGTCTATTTTTTCAATTATAAAAAGAAGCTTTTCGTTAGGTTTTATTAGTTTTTTTTGTGAATTTAGTCAAAAAATAGATTTTTTAAAAAAGCTGATGGCTGATACTGAGTAATATCCCTTCTCTTAGGCATGGGGTAGTTTCTTACAACTGCTTAGTGGTGAAATGGTTAAATACAAATTAGTTAGTGCTTAGCCTTAGTGTAAATATTTAAGATTTCTAAATTTACACTTGACTTATGTCTTTACTCTATAGTAGTCTATAAAGTCTAAATTATCTTTATTTACAGTAGTCTTTAAAAAATAGATCTATAGTAAAGTATAGTATAAGTATAGCGCCTCTCTATAGCTCTATAGGTCTAGACTAGAATATACACTCACTCACACAGTTAAACTTAGTTAAAGTTTAAAGTTACAAGTAGATCAAGACTTGAGTTGACATTCAAATTGGGGGTCCATGATTGGGTCTTTCATTACTAATATAATGACTAATTGAGTAATTCTTGTCACTAATGTTTCATTTGGACATTAGACTTTTCCGTCATTTATGATTTATTCATTATATTGGGCATTGTTGCCAACAATGTTGGCGGTGGACACTAGTCACTACGAGTACGTCACTAGAATTGACTAGAAGATTCACGATCTAGATAAAAGTTTGATTTTTGTCACTTTGATTTTAGAACTTAGTCGATCTAGATATCAGTTTACAGACAACTTAATTATTTAGATCTAAAGTTTTGATCTAAACTAGTCTAGTAATCTTGTCTTGTTTACCTAAATTACGTTTATTGTAATGGACAACGTGGTTGTATTTTTGTTTTGAATGAGAAGCGGCCAGATTTTTACATCCGGTAAGGCAGTCGAAGCCAAAAATTATAAGGGCATTTTGACCTATAACTATAGATCTAATCTAGATTTAGATTCTATATCGAGGATTTAGCTTATAGCTTATTGTTTTCAAAATATATAATGTTATTACAGTAGCATATTTTTTTTTAAAAAAAAGGAAAAGCACAATCGTTAGATAATGAGCATTCTTTTGTTTCTTTTTTTTTTTAGACCTTTGTTTTGTTGTACATGTTCTGTATATTCCTTCAGAACTAAAATTGATTAGTCTAAACCTCGACACGCAGCACGGCCCGGGTAAGGGGGGGGGGGGGCGTCGGGCAGTATTCGAACACAAGACCGTGGAGACGATTGTCCAGTTGTCCAGAGCGCATAATAAATGACCAGGCAGCTAGATCTTTACCTACCTCAAAATTAATTAAGGAGTACATTTTTAACGACTCGTATGGTACTCAGAAATAATTAGAAAGATACAAGAATATATAGGCACATTTCTTATTCCATATACGCAGGAACAAATATGTACAAAATGCTCCTTAAATTCTTCCCTAGTGCTATTAGAGAATGGAATGGGTTGCCTGAATCAGCCAGGAAAACCATGCAACGACTTAGCAGAGTTTAAATCATAGATTAACATGCATGACTATAGATTGACATAAAATGCGAAGAACGTAATCTTCTTTTTTTAAAGTAACGTTTGTAATATTGAAGAAGAAGGAGACGTCATTGGTTCGTGCCCTAGTCGTTGCAGTCCCTTATTTTGTTACATTTAATTCACCATTTTCTATCATTAAAAATGTGGTCCCTAGTGCCGCCTTTATAAATGTAATATATATTCATCATTCGTTGTTTCATTTATTAGCTTCACATTTGTATTTAAATTTACGTTTACAGCTTAATTGCTACATAGTGTTTAATTATGTTCTCCGATTGTTCTGTTAAGAGCTAGGACTAAGGTCCTATACAGTCGAAATAGAGCCATTGTTTGTCAAATATGCCTAACGGCTCGGCTATCTGTGTCAGGTGTAACGAGGTAGGGGCGGGGCATATGCGACGGTTAACCCCTGGGTATATGGCGGCTGCATTCTTGCCGTTGCATGCGAATGCCACAGATCAGAATAATCATCAGATAGATGTTTTTTTTGGACATCTGCTTCATGTTGTAGTGATTAGTTCGCAAATACTGCCTTAGTGATTAGTTCGCCAGTACCGTTTTAGTGGTTAGTTCGCCAATACCATTTTAGTGGCTATATAGTTCGTCAGTACCGTTTTAGTGGTTAGTTCGCCAATACCATTTTAGTGGCTAGTTCGCCAGTACCATTTTAGTGGTTAGTTCGCCGTACTACGTTGCTGCTAAGCAAAGTTGACGCACCGGAGGGTAACTGGTTTGTGCCCTTGTCCATGCAGTCACTAATTTCGTTTCTTCACCATTTTCTCCCATTAACAATGTGGTCCCTAGTACTATCTTTAGATATTTAATATATAGGTCCTATGTATTATTCACTGTTTCATCACTTCATATTTGTATTTACTCAAGATTAATGTGTAGGCTGGAGGGTATCATTCTTTGAGAATATTCACCACATTTCAAGGAAGTTTTTTGGTCATGTTCGCTTCTCCTATGTTGAAGTAAAAAGGGGCATTTGCAACTAGCTGTGACTGGGACAAGGTAGGGATAACCAATTGTTCATTCTCCGACATCCACAGGGCTCTCTAACGATCTATAGGTCGAAATTGCCCACAGGTTGTAATATTGCAGGTCAGTGTTCAGGCCATCTATAACGATTGGTCTGTCAAGCCCATACAGCAAGTGAAGTAATGTTTGCCTTTTTTTTTGTCTAATATTTTAATGGCACAGTTACCCCCAGAAATATATAAACATAATACCCACTGATATTTAAAAATTCTAATTTACTAAAAAAAAAGACTTAGAAATACAAATAAAACAACTCTTTTTTTTTTCACATTAAACATTTTATTGTTATCTTTTTTAATATAATCAACAAACATAAACAGAATTTTTTATACTATAAAAAAATATTGTCACAAAAAAATAGCATAATGAAAATAGAGAAAAAAAATATGTATTTATTAACACTAAACAAAATTATATAGTCCTAGTTCAGAAGAAAAAAGAAAATTTTTGCAACCAAAGACTTCTAAAGACATTTTTTAGACAAAATATAATTGAAAAGAAACTCAGTACAATTGTAATCAAATTGAAATCAACTAAACAGATGAAGCCTTGTAAAAGAAAGAAATATACCATTAAAGTTTTGGCGCAGAGCTTGTATTATGTAGTGCGTAACATATACATCTACAAAAACAATATTATTAAACATAAATTTACTGTCTCATCCAACTCTTCTGCACTCAAGCTTACCACAATGGAAATCTTAACAGATTCCAACATAGACTTAGACTTAAATTGAGGTAATACAACTTAATATATATATATATATATATATATATATGATTAGACTGTAGCAAATAAAATATTGAAAGTATTGGTTGGTCAGCATAAACAAAAGAAAGAAATGACAGACTATGAGATTCAGTAAGTGGTAAGGAGACAATCGGTTATAGAGCATTGTCTATTTGAAAACAAAAACTTGATAAAATGTTCAATTTTTATCTAGACACTGGAGATCCCTAAAAAGTCTGTATGGTTGTAACCTTATTTCAAGGGCCATTAACAATATATGTATATATAAATGTACCGGCACTTCCAATTCTGAGTGAAACACTACCTTATTAAACAAAAGAAATAGCATAAAAACATTTTAAGGTCTTTCCAAAATGTTAGGAAAAAAATTTTTAACAAGAAAGAATTCTTTGAAGATCATAATCAAAGACAAGAGATGAAATAGAATCACCAAGTAAAAGGCATAATTCAATTCTATTAATAAAGTTCACCAACAAACAAAACAAGAGGTCAGTCAGAGACGAATTTACATAAAGCTTTGGAGGGTTCTGCTTTGTTGCACGAGTTCTGAGAATCAAGACAACATACTGCATTCATTCATCCAGCCAAAATGTGTCCTTATCAAGAGATAAAGGTTTATGTTCTATGACCAAAGTAAAGATTTATGTCAACAACCAACAAAAAAGAAAGACTATCAAGTCCTACTCCACTTGTCAAAGTTTCTTTTTTTTTTTTTTAAATTTCAGTTGAAATTTTATATATTTAGTTGGCCTAAATTATGTCACCATTTTGTAGTCTCTTGGAAAGAAATTTCTTGTACATATATATATATATATGTTCATTGTAGCAAACTGATTTAGAAATGTGTTTTACTAAATTATGTTTTTTATTTTTATTTAAAATAGATATCTACATTGAGTTTTAAATTATATCTTATAGTCATGTTTTGTTTTTTTTTCATAAACATTTTAAGAATGTTTTAAAATAATTTTCAGAAATAAAATTTAGAAAAAAAACCCAACTCTTTTGGCTGGTTGTCTTTCTTTTCCTATACTATATTACTATAGTTTTCACTGTTTGTGTCAAAGGTAAAAGAAAAAAAGTACTATGTCAATCCATACACTGTTTCTATAATGAACAAAAAAAAATTTAAACAGATTCTCTTAATCAGGAAATCAGCTAAATCATCAAACAGATACAAAATTGAAGCAATCAGACCTTCTTAATTCATAGTCTCTGATTTCAAGTACAATTACTTTTCACTCTAATGGGTCACATTGATAAGGAAAAGAAAAAAAATTCTACAAGAAAATATAAAAGACAAAGGCAATCAGATGTAAGATCATGTACACAAATTAATGACAAAAAATGTACGATGTTGTGAATACACCAGATGAAGATTCACAGCTGACATTTATATAGAAAGCATGATTGTTCTAGGTGTTAAAGGAGGGGGGGGGGGATAATAGCAGCATTAGCAAAAAGCATTTGAATTTCAGCACTGCTGTTAAGTTACCATCTTATACCATCATGAATTTATTTCATCTAATTAAGATGTACAATTCTTGTATATGGGTAGAGTTCTAGATGTAAAAATAAAACCTCAGAAACGTAAAAGTATTGCTCACTGCGAACATTTCTCGACATTTTAAATTCATGATATGGAATTAATGTTGTTCCGTTCTTAGAAAAAAAAAAAACCAATACAAAAACAAAGCTCTATTGGACTCAAATGCATACTTATTGAACAGTTTGTAATAGGATTGTTATAATTGATGTAGACATGTCAGAGACAAAGTACAACAATAACAACATTCTGTTACAATGAAAATTTGGTGATTCAATGAATATTACTAAGAGCTTTGACATTTAACAAATTATCTTTCAATATTAAAATTTATGTTATTGTGCTTTTTGTATTGGAAACAAAGAGACAGACAATTTTATTATACAACAGTCAACAGCCTAAGGCTATCACACACCTAGAAAGTGATATCTCTAATTTTTTGGGGGGTGTCAGTGAAGAGTAGTTGGTTGAAAACACTTCATCTCATCTAATCTTTACAGGAAACATTTCTCAGCAGTATCTCTCTTTCTACCAGTTACTTTATAAAAAGGCAATCAACTTTTTGTTGTTGTTTATAAAACTTGAGAATGGAATGGATTATCTATTTATGTCTGATAACTACCAAAGCACAATCAAGTAATCTTGTTAATGAATATAAGATCTAAAAGAGTTCAACCAACAAACATTTACTTTTATCTTCCATCAGGAATAAATAAAAGTGTCTTATCATCTGCCAGGTTTTTAGAAACTGTAGTGCAATTACATTATAACGGAATAAAAGTTTAACCTGTATATCAATAAAGCTCAATAGATCAAATACTGTTAAATTGAAATTTGTATGATAAAGTTACAATTATGGCAGAAATATGAATGCTACAAACTATTGCAATTGGTTAAGATCATGTACAGAAGTGATAACGACCTTATCAAAGAAATTAAATTATGTCAATGTAGTGAAATACCGGTACAGTATAATAAGGGTTGACAACACCTGCATTTTTTTCAACTACTGAAATTAGCATTTGCATACAAAAAAATTTGATTCACAAAGCCATGTGTATCTTCATCATAGAAAATACTTTTTTTTTATACAACAAACTTAATACCAAGTACATACAGAAGTTCTGTGTACACAAAGAAAAACGTACACAGTAAAAGCAATACTGTATGAATACACTCATCAACTCTAATCATTGTAATTATACAGTACCAATTGCTTATTGATATATTTGTTCATATCTGCAAGCTCTTGATTGCCATGGATACAAATTAAGAATGACAATGGTGACATTGCTGGCAGAATTCTCACTAAACTGAACATATGGCTTTGTCAACAGAAGTTCATGCATTACAGAAAGGGAGAGGCTTATTATCAACTGCTTAGACAACAATGATCCTCTGCTTATTTTCTGTAACTGAAACAAACACACATATACAACCATAAAATGACCGTATACATTCAGCCACAACAAAGGAAAGAAATCTATAATCTTTTGTAAATGTTCTGTTAGGTTTAGGTCCTTATGTGTAAAGTATAGTTTCCAAGTTTAGGTCCTTATGTGTAAAGTATAGTTTCCAAGTTTAGGTCCTTATGTGTGAAGTATAGTTTCCAAGCTTAGGTCCTTATGTGTAAAGTATAGTTTCCAAGTTTAGGTCCTTATGTGTACAGTATAGTTTCCAAGTTTAGGTCCTTATGTGTACAGTATAGTTTCCAATGCTTCTATTCTTTATTACCAGATACATTTGTAAATGTCAAAATAAAAAAACTTTATAATAAAATGCTCTCATTCTTTGTTGGCTATTATATATATATTATACATACACAAATTAACATGTTACTTATGAATAAAGTAAAATCATATCAAAGACATGTTTGAAAAGGGGGAGTAACATGCTGGGCAGCAACATTTATTCACAAAATATGTTAAGTCAAAATAACAAAGGCATAGATTGGCTTTTATTTTATCACCATGAACATCATCAAAAGATGCGTCGAGTTACTCTTTTGAAAGCTGATGATGAAGTTGTAATATAGGTAAGAAAGGGAAAAGGAAATCAGCGGCTAATGAAAGCAAGTTGATAATCCTAAAGCCGCATATTGTGTGGCTGGACCAAAGACCAGCTAAAAAGATTCATATATCTCCATGTAAGCAAAGTTGCGCCTTAAACATATTTTATGCCAAGAAGCTTGAGGTAACACATTGTGTCCACTGCACCAGATACAGACATAAAATACAAACTCAGGAATGTAGAATTCCCCAGTGAATTAAACATCATATTTATTCAGCGTTGTTTCTCAAGCCATACAAACCTATGAGCTGCGGCACTGGTATAGAAATATACTACACAAGAACAAACTCTATGGAGAACAGCCAATAACTGTGTAGTTTATCCTAGATATAGAACATTTAACTCTTTCAATGTTATGTTACAGAAAACATCCAGCAATAATCAAGTTTAAACAATTATACTTAGGCCACATGTCTTATACAACAAGTATGTATTAAGTCTTTAATATTAATAGTTTCAATAGTAATCCTGATAGATATTTTTAATAGTTTCAATAGTAATCCTGATAGATATTTTTAATAATAAAAGTGTCATTAATATTTGCAACAAGAAATCTTTAGAGCAAACAAAAAATTGACCACAACAAATATATGTACAGTAATAATAAGATAAAAAAAACAACAACTCTATATGGCAATGAAAATATAATTTTTGATTAACATCTCTGAGAGCATCTGGTATTCCAATGTCTTAACAATTTACAAGAGAAAGGTGATAATGTAATGTATGCATTTACACCCTGAGCACCACGGTGATCTTTGCATGCAAACATTTTGGTTGGTTTATTAGTGTTAGCAACAGTGCAATACTTCTAAATGAGAATGTCTATTAATACTCATTGGACTGCCAGTCTGGCAAGAACTAACAACTGCATATAATACTAGCACTAAGTGAATTGCACAAACCTCTATAATGTAGACATCACAGAGTACACATAAAATCAATATATGAATTGAAGTAGTTAGGACCCATATGGGAAAAATGGCAACTTGACAGGACATTAGAATCATGACAGAAAAAGATACATAGTCATGACCCTCCAGACACATTGTCATGATCTTATAGTCGTGATCATACTGTAAAAACATCAAAAATATCAACAACAAAAAATTCAATGATGATGACTTGCTTGAAAAGAAATAGAACCCAAATAAATCCAACAAGGTTTGAACCAGTTCAAAACTATCAGCTGTACAACCAATCACTCTACCACTAATCTACCATGTCCTCTTTCTTTTGTTAATTATTTGTTTAGAACATGACATGAAAGCTAAGGGATTGTCACTCAATCCCCAAGTTTTCAAGAAGTCCATGAAAATTCTACAACTTTCCAATATTACAAAAAAATACAAAACTGGAAAAAGAAATTCAGAACCCAGACTTCAAAATGAGTCTGGTTGAAATACATT